ATTGTTCTGTGGTTTAATGCAGCCCTTCAGCTGCTGAACAATCAAGCCCTCTAATGTTGTCTCAGTCCCAAGGCCAGCCTTAGGGAAAACGGCACCCTGGGAAAATTTCAATTGGTGCCCTTCTTTTGGAGATGTAGCGGGGCTGGAGGCAGAGCAGACGGCCAGCCATGCACAGGGCTAACAACTCAAGACCCCTTGGAATAACCTCACGACTCTCAGTTTGAGAGCTCCTGGACTACATGATCATAATGGTGCCTTGTAGTCACAAAATCTATGAGAGAAGGGAAGGGGGAGAATCTTTTTCATCACATACATGTAAGAAACCAGCTAGAGAGTCTCACATTCGAAGGCCGGAAGGAACCACTGCGCTCCCCCGCACCGAGCCCCTGCCTAACCCAGCCCGGAGCACGGCCTAAAGCTAAGCCCTGTTCCAAGTCCCAGCAGTTACCGACCTTCCCTGGCACGGGATCGGAAGGGGCCTTTCCCCTCCGGAGCGAGCTAGTCAAGACCCCTCCAGGGCCAGGCATCGCCACAGACCTCGCTCCGCCACCACTGCTGTCAGCCCCAGGGCTCCGGCTGCCCTGCCCAGCGCCCCCGAGCTCGGGCCAGACCCAAGGTCCCAGGAGAGGCCGGGCTCGGACGGGGCCCCGACACCAGCTCTGCGCCCAATCGGCCGGTGGTGGGGTGGGGAGACAACGCCGGGCTCCGAGCATCTGCCCCACGGAACCAGCAAGTGCCGCCCCCCAGCTTCAGCGGGCCGCCCTGAGGGCTCCCGGCAGGGACACCCGGCCCCCGCTCACCCCGGCCGGTACCTGCGTGCGGCCCCCGCAGCCTCCGCAGCTCCTGCTCGGAGAAGCCGGCCCAGCCCCCCGCCATAGCGCCTCATCCCCGGGGGTGGCGGCGCTCGCGGCCGGCGCTTCCTCCTTCCGCTGCCACGTCCTGGGCTCGGCAGGACCCCGCGCCCGGGCCTGCCCCTGGCTCCGCCGGCCGCTTCCCCACAGCCTGTTACTCCATGAAGGCCGGGCGGGGTATCAATCACAGCGCAGGCAGCCCTATGGGAGCCCGGCGGGGTCCTAGCTAGTTACCATGGGGAAGAGGGCGGGGCCTCAAGGGAAAGGTGGCTGCTGGGCAGGGGAGGGAGATCTGAGGGGGAGGAGCCTCCTGCTTCCCATCCTGCTGCCGCTCATCCCTTGCTCTCCAGGCACAGGGGTGTAGGGCTCGGCCCCAGACTCCCTCCTTTCTCTGTGCCCTCAGGGTACCACTGCTGGGCCAGGAGCCAGGCTGGCATCTCCTACACTCTGCCCATTGGGTGCTGCACCACTGAGAAAGCAGCAAATGAGAGCATAACAGAGCTCTCCCCCTCTCAAGCCCTCTGAATGTTGCAAGGCATCCTACAGCACTCACCTGAATGGGGACAGCCAGTAAGAATGGAGTAATTTAGCTCCTGCCACCCTCGCTAACTGATCATTTCTACCTGTACAATAATAGTTCATGGCAGTGGCCAGGAGACAAGTTTGTGGCAGATGTAAGGGCTTGTCTACACTTGAAATGCTACAGTGGAACAGCTGCACTGCTGTAGCACTTCAGAGTAGACACTACCTACTCCGGTGACAGGGATCAGATAATCCACCTCCCTGAGAGGTCGGCAGAAGAATTCTTCCATCAACTTAGGGCTTGTCTACACTGGCACTTTACAGTGCTGCAACTTTCTCACTCAGGGGTGTGAAAAAACACACTCCTGAGCGCAGCAAGTTTCAGCGCTGTAAAGCGCCAGTGTAGAGAGCGCTGTTAGCTACGCCCCTCGTGGAGGTGGTTTTTTTAGAGTGGCACTCTGCCGCGACTACACAAGCCATATTAAAGCGCTGCCACGGCAGCACTTTAATGTTGCCAGTGTAGACTAGCCCTTAGTGCTATCTGCACAGGAATGTAGGTTGGCTTAACTATGTTGCTCAGGGGTGTGGATTTTTCACACTCTTGACTGATGTTTTTAATCTTACCTCATTTTCTAGTGTAGACCAGGCCTAAGAATTTGACTACGCAGGCAACAGAGCTAGAAGTTTATGATTGACTGCATGAGTGATTATTTGGCTGGGGAAAAGCAACCCAAATTTGGCCAAATAACTAGGCCTTTGACAAATTGCAGTTCATCTATGCTCATTCAAGACTTGCTAGAGCTTCACAGCTTATTTCCCCAAAGATTTCATCTGCTCAGGGCTAAGCAGGACTTTCCCTGCAAGTGCAATTCCTGGATGCTCCAAGCTGTGCCAGGTCCAGGTCTGGGCAAGGGATCTGTGAGCAGGGAGCCTGTCTCTCCTGTGCGCTCAACATCCGCACCCTCATCACTGCTGATGCCCAGGCAGCAAGGAGAAGGAAGCTGCCTGAATCATGTGCAGAGGGGACAAAAGCCAGATCTGGTGGGGGAGTAGAGTGGGACAAGGAGCCTGGCAGGAAAAGACTGGGACTGGAGGCTTGTGGGAGGAAAAGGGTAGCTGGAATTTGGAGTTGGGCGGGAGACTGGGAGTGGCTGGGTAAGGACACCAGGAGCTGGGAGGGGAGGCAGAGAAGATTGGAATTGGATGGCAAGGAGACTGGGACTGGAGCCAGGGAGAAAAATGACGGGGACTGGGACTCAGTTGGGGTGGAGAGACAGAGAATATGAGCAGCCAGGGGAGACTGGGACCAGTGGGGTGGGTGGAAGGAGGGTGAGGGGATGGGAAGCTGGTCTGACAAGGAATCAGGGTACAGCAGAAGAACAGGGATGGGAGAGGAAAAGAGACAGACAAGGAGCTGGGGGCAGCGGGGTGGATACTGAGATTGCACAGGGAGCCACAGAAGGGGCTGGGGATGGAGGGTGAAAAGACAGATAGGATGAAGAGTCAGGAGGGGGTAACTGGTAGTGGCTGGGCAAGGAGATGGGACTAGGAGCTGGAAAGGGGTGGGGGAACTGGGAATGGTTGGGCAAGAAGACTGAGACTGGGAACAAGTGGGGAGACTGAGACTAGGATGGTGAATCCAGAGGGGGAGTCTATGATTTGCTGGGCAAGAAGACTGGAACTGGGATGAGAAACTTAAGGAGTGGAAACTGGGACTGACAAGGTGAAGAGGATGGGACTGGGACGAATAGCCAGGGGTGTGGAAGAGATGACTGGGGCTATGTCTACACTACAGAATTAGGTCGGATTTATAGAAGCCGGTTTTATAGAAACCGGTTGTATGCAGCCGATTGTGTGTGTCCCCACCTAAAATGCTCTAAGTGCATGAAGTCGGCGGACCGCGTCCACAGTACCGAGGCTAGCGTCGACTTCCGGCGCATTGCACTATGGTACCTATCCCACAGTTCCCGGAGCCTCCGGCGCCCATTGGAATTATGGGTTGAGATCGCAATGCCCGGATGATGCAAAGCAGTGCCGCGAGGGGTTCTGGGTACATTGCGTCAGGCCCCTCCCCCGCCGTCACAGCAACGGCAGACAATAGATTCGCGCCTTTTTACCTGGGTTACCTGTGCAGACAACATACCACGCCAAGCATTGAGCCCGCTCAGCTCAGCTCACCGTCACCATATCTCTTCCGGGTGCCGGCAAACGTGGGACTGCATTGCTAAACAGCAGCAGCAGCTTACTGCCTTTTGGCGGTAGACGGTGCAGCATGACTGGTAGCCTTCATTGGCGATCTGGGTGCAGGCAGCCGTGGGGCTGGCAGCCGTAGGGCTGCATTGCACCAGCCCCTTGCCTTTTGGTAGAAGATGGTATATTACGACTGGTAACCGTCGTCATCGTACTGCAGTGGCTGTCGATCATGGGCACCCAGGCAGACAATGATGGTTATCAGTCGTAGTATGCTATTTTCTGCCAAGTGCCCAATATTGTCTGCTAAGCACCCAGAAGAGGCCGAGGGCTATCTGGGTGCTGGCAGACATGGGGCTGGCAGCCGTGGGGCTGCATTGCACCAGCCCCCTTGCCTTGATGATGATGGTTATCAGACGTAGTATGCGCAGGATGGGGCAACATTGCTACACAGCAGCAACCCCTTGCCTTTTGGGCAGTAGATAGTATATTACGACTGGTATCCATCGTTGTCATACTGGGTATCAGATCGTGCAATAGACCTGAAGGCTAACTGCCAAGCGCCCAGTATTTGCTGCCAAGCACCCAGAAAATGCCAAGGGCTATCAGTCATGCTGCACCGTCGTCTTAAGATGTAAAAAATAGATTTATTCTGTATTCATTTGCTTCCCCCCCTTCCTCCTGCTAAACCCAGGCTTTTGAGTTCAATCTTTGGGGGGGGGGCATTCTGTGTGACAGTTGTTTGTGTTTCTCCCTGATGCAAAGCCACCTTTCTTGATTTTAATTCCCTGTACCTGTATGCCATGTCGTCACTCGCCCCTCCCTCCCTCCCTCTCTCCCTCCCTCCCTTCTTCCCCTGGTCCGTCAGATACTACTTTCGCGCCTTTTTTCAGACCAGACGCCATAGCCAGCACTGGGATCATGGAGCCCGCTCAGATCACCGCGGCAATTATGAGCACTATGAACACCACGCGCATTGTCCTGGAAAACATGCAGAGCCTCCTGGACATGCCAAAGCCAAACCAGGACCAGCTGAGGAGGAGGCGATTGCAGCGCGGCGACGATAGTGATGAGGAAATTGACATGGACCTCTCACAAGGCACAGGCCCCAGCAATGTGGAAATCCTGGTGTTACTGGGGCAGGTTCATGCCGTGGACCGCCGATTCTGGGCCCGGGAAACAAGCACAGAGTGGTGGGACCGCATCGTGTTGCAGGTCTGGGACGATGCCCAGTGGCTGCGAAACTTTCGCATGCGTAAGGGCACTTTCATGGAACTTTGTGACTTGCTTTCCCCTGCCCTGAACCGCCAGAATACCAGGATGAGAGCAGCCCTCACAGTTGAGAAGCGAATGGCGATAGCCCTGTGGAAGCTTGCAACGCCAGACAGCTACCGGTCAGTCAGGAATCAATTTGGAGTGGGCAAATCTACTGTGGGGGCTGCTGTGATCCAAGTTGCCAGGGCAATGAGAGACCTGGTGATATCAAGGGTAGTGACTCTGGGAAACGTGCAGACCATAGTGGATGGCTTTGCTGCAATGGGATTCCCAAACTGTGGTGGGGCGATAGACGGAACCCATATCCCTATCTTGGCACCGGCGCACCAAGCCACCGAGTACATAAACCGCAAGGGGTACTTTTCAATGCTGCTGCAAGCCCTGGTGGATCACAAGGGACGTTTCACCGACATCAACGTGGGCTGGCCGGGAAGAGTACATGATGCTCGCGTCTTCAGGCAGTCTCTTCTGTTTCGAAAGCTGGAGGAAGGGACTTTCTTCCCAGACCAGAAAATAACCGTTGGGGATGTTGAAATGCCTAGCGTGATCCTTGGGGACCCAGCCTACCCCTTAATGCCATGGCTCATGAAGCCATACACAGGCAGCCTGGACAGCAGTCAGGACCTGTTCAACTACAGGCTGAGCAAGTGCCGAATGGTGGTGGAATGTGCATTTGGGCGTTTAAAAGCGCGCTGGCGCAGCTTACTGACTCGCTCAGACCTTAGCGAAAAGAATATCCCCATTGTTATTGCTGCTTGCTGTGCGCTCCACAATATATGTGAAAGTAAGGGGGAGACATTTATGGCGGGGTGGGAGGTTGAGGCAAATCGCCTGGCCGCTGATTACGCGCAGCCAGACACCAGGGCGGTTAGAGGAGCACAGCAGGGCGCGGTGCGCATCAGAGAAGCGTTGAAAACCAGTTTTGTGACTGGCCAGGCTACGGAGTGAAACTTCTGTTTGTTGCTCCTTGATGAACCCTCTGCCCCTCCCCCACCACCCTGTTAACTCTACTTCCCTGCAAACCAACCACCCCACCCTCCCCTACTACCCTCCCCCCTTCGAGCACCACTTGCAGAGGCAATAAAGTCATTGTTGCTTCACATTCATGCATTCTTTATTACTTCAGCACACAACTAGGGGGATAATTGGAAAGGTAGCCCGGGATGGGTGGGGGAGGAGGGAAGGAACAGGACACAC